GGTATATGGGGCCCGGTGCCCTACTCACTGAGCCACAGGCGCCTCCCCAAATCATGTCTTTTGATTAGGGAATTTAATCCATTTATTGTTCACATAATTACCAATGAAAAGGACTTCTTTTGCCATTCCGTTACATGTTTTCTCTATGTTTTACAGCAGGAGTGTCCAACCTTTTGACTTCTCTGGGCCACACTGGAAGAGGAAGAGTTGCCTTGGGCTACACATTAAATACACAAACACAGCCTGGTGAGGTGACTCATGCCTCTAATTCCCACACTCCAGGGGGCTGAAGTGGGAGGATCAGTTGAGCTCACAAGTTTGAGACCAGCCTGAGCAAGAGTGAGACCAAGACCCCATCTCAACTAAAAATAGAAAAACTATCCAGGTGTTGTGGGGATGCCTGTAGTTCCAATTATTTGGGAGGCTGTGTTAAGTGGATCACTTGAGTCCAGAAGGTTGAGGTTGCTGTGAGCTGTGACACACGTCACGCTACTCAGGGTTAGGCTCTGTCTCAAAACACACAAAAGGTGATGAGCAAAAAAAAGGTTGATGCATAATTTTCATGTTATGCACCAGAGATAAACAAAAAAGTCTTCACATAATAACCCTAATTATGCAGTGGCCCATTCAAAGAGTCTTAAAATCATCAAGCAGGTCCCAAGTTTGTGATCACTAATATAGAAAATGCACATATCTAAGCAATAAAACATCATATTTTTAAAAATATTTTTATTGTAAAAGTAGGCAACGTAAAACTAGTGGGATATTTGACATTGTACTTGAGAAACTAACATCAATACTTGTTTTTGGTGGAAGTAGTTGTGATTTTCAGTGGGGTCTCAAGGTGCTCATCCGATATTCTGGTTCTCATTTTACTCTGAATGTGCTTCATTCTTGAAAATAGTTGCTTACAAATGTAGGTGCTGCCAAAAAGTGATGACATGAATAAGGCGTGATTGTGAAGTGAGGGATCTTTGTCTCTGGGAAGACAGGACCTGAGAAAGTCCAGTAAAGAGACGCGATCAAGGTTTCTTTAAGCTGAATGTCAGATAGCAGCTCTGTGCGTCCATTTGAAAGTTGGCAGGTGATGTATTTGTGTCAATGGAAATGGAGCCACAAATGTATCAAAATGTTGTTTTCCCAGAAATCTTAAAATCTGTTCTCAAATTCTTGTATCAAATTGAAAAGCAAGGCTGTACATTTTTCCCTGTTCACAGGACTATGTTCAGCCAACATGTGGAAAAGCATAAAATTGTTTACTTTGAGTTTGCCATAATTCAGTTTCATTTGGAATGCTGTTATGATTTGAAGCATTGTATTGATTAGTTGGTTTTTACCTTGAAAATACATGTTTAATTTATTTAAATGAGCTATAAAACCCACTAATAATGCTAAATCTCTAACCCTGTTTTCATTGTCAAGTTCTGGCATAAATTAGGCTTTTGGTACCATAAAAGACTTAATAATATGTTGCAAATCATAAAACCTTTCAACATTTGGCCTCTGCCTTGCCTTAGCCATCTTATTTCTGAAAAGTAAAAGATGTCACCATGTTCCCCATCAATACTTTTAAGGCATTCCTGGAATTGGTGATGATTCGACCCCTTGGCCTTATGAAATTCAGTCTTGATGCTGTGCCTTGCGCTTTCCGTTTTCTTGATAGAGAAATGATGCAGTATGCAGTGATGCTGTTGAAACATGAGTTTTGAGTGGCAGTTTCGTTGTTTTCTATTAATTTTACAAGTCCTCTTTCACACCATCAGTAACTATACCAGATATGCTGACAATGGACAAAGAAAATCACTTATTTTTTTCTACTGCATTGTGTAAATCTCTTAATTCAGTTGTATCTTTTGACGGCACTAAAAAAGCCATTTATTTCTTCAGTGACACATTTGTCATCAATAGCTCTTATTAAAACAGTGAGTTGAAC